CGGGGCCCCACGAGGGGCCTCAGCTGCGCCGTCCGTGCCCGCGGGGAGGGGGGGCTGGCAGGGGGACACTCATGGGAGGGGACAGAGGGGACACGGACCCACGGACACGTCCCCAAACCCTCTGTGGAGAGTGGGGGGCCATGGTGGGGGGCAGTGGCACCCCCTTTGCTCGGACAGATTTTAGGGTGGGGGGCTGTGTCATGGGTGGTTAGGGGGAGATTTGGGGGAATTTGTTACGGTTGGGTGCGGGGAGATTTGGGGTGTTTGTCACGGGTGGGTAAAGGAAGATTTGGGGTGCTTGTCACGTGTAGGTAGGGGAAGATTTGGGGTATCTGTCACGGGTGGGTACGGTGAGAATTTGGGGGAGTTTGTCACGGGTGGATGCGCATCGGGATGTGTCACGGGTGGGTACGGGGAGATTTGGGGTATTTGTCACTAGTGGGTATGGGAAGATTTGGGGTATTTGTCATGGGTGGGTAGGGGGAGATTTGGGGTATTTGTCACAGGTGAGTACAGGAAGATTTGGGGTGTTTGTCACGTGTAGGTAGGGGAAGATTTGGGGGGATTTGTCATGGGTAGGTGTGCATCGGGATGTGTCATGGGTGGGTTGTGGGTTGTCACGGGTTTCGGGGTATCTGTCACGGGTGGGTTGTGGGGGCTGCGTCAGGAGTGGATATGGGAAGATTTGGGGTATTTGTCACGGGTGGGTACAGGAAGATTTGGGGTATTTGTCACAGAGAGCATTTGGGGGAATTTGTCACGAGTGGATGCGCATCGGGATATGTCACGAGTGGGTTTTGGGGTATCTGTCACGGGTGGTTGTGGGAGCTGTGTCAGGAGAGGATATGGGAAGATTTGGGGTATTTGTCACGGGTGGGTAGGGGAAGATTGGGGGGGATTTGTCACGGGTGGGTACAGGAAGATTTGGAATATTTTTCACGGGTGGATAGGGGAAGATTTGGGTATTTGTCAAGGGTGGGTACAGGAAGATTTGGGGGGATTTATCACATGTGGGTACGGCGGGGATTTGGGGGAATTTGTCACGGGTGGGTGTGCATCGGGATGTGTCACTGGTGGGTTGTGGGGGCTGCGCCAGGAGTGGATATGGGAAGATTTGGGGTATTTTTCACGGGTGGGTACGGCGACAATTTGGGGGAGTTTGTCACGGGTGGACGCGCATCGGGATGTGTCACGGGTGGGCTTCGGGATATCTATCCCGGGTGGATATGGAAGGACTCGGGGGAATTTATCACGGGTGGGTCCATGTTTGGGGCCGCGTGGGGCAGTGTCCTGAGCGTGTCCGTGGGGCCGTGTGTCCGTGGGGTCCCCGGTCCGTGTCCCGCGCCATCCCGGGGGTCCCGGGACCACCGAGAGGGGCACAAGGACCCGGCGCGGGCGGGGGGCGGAGCCAGCTCGGG